ACGTCATGGAGTCTGGAGTAAGACTGAGAATAACATCTCATCTGAGTCAGTGCAGAAAAAAATTTTAGTGGAAAGACTTTTGACAGGCCAAGATTAACATTAAGCTTACTCGCAGCACTTTTCACAAATATTTTTCGCATATAACTTTCTGATTTTTTTCACAACACAAGTTGATCGTTGGAAAGACTAACGATGGTTTTAATGAGTTTTTATTCTGTTTCTGTCATTTAATGAAGTCGATGATTGAAGGTAAAATCTGTGTTTGTGTCTCTGGAGTCTGGTGGAGAGTGATAGTGATATTACGGCTGTTTGTGGGTTAACTAAAGGTTATCTCTGTAGGGATCCTTTATAATGCTTGTCAGACACTTGGGAAAAAAAAAAAAAAAAAAAAAAAAAAAATAACAATGAGTTGTAGTGGAACAAAAACTAACTGTAGTGGAACAAACAACAACTGTAGTGAAACAAACAACAACTAGACTGTTTAGTGGAACAAACAACAACTACTGTTAGTGGAACAAACAAAACTATTGTAGTGGAAAAACACAACTACTTTTAGCGGAAAAACAACAACTACTGTTAGTGACAGACAACAACTATGGTTAGTGGAACAAACAACAACTTACTGTTAGTGGACAAACAAAACTATTGTTAGATGGAACAAAAAACACTTACTGTTAGAGAAAAACAACATACTGTTAGTTTGAACAAACAACAACTATTGTTAGGTGGAACACACAATAACTACTGTTAGTGGAACAAACAATACTGTTAGTGGAATAAACAACAACTACTGTTAGTGGAACAAACACTATGTTAGTGGAACAAACAACAACTACTGTTAGTGGGAACAAACAACAAATACTTTTAGATGGAACAACAACAAACTACTGTTAGTGGACAAACAAAAACTACTGTTAGTGGAAAAAACAACAACTGGTTAGTGGAAAAATAAAAAAAACTACTGTTGTGGAAAAAAAGACAATGTTAGCTCGAATAAAAACTACTATGTTAATTGGAAGATGGAGTTTATGTTGCAGCCGTTTTCAAAATATTTTCCTATCTAACTTGGTGAATTAGGATTTATTTAAACAAAAAACCAGAGTTGGTGATTGTTGGACTAGCACATGGTTTTGGTGAGTTTTATTTGTTTCGTTGTTCCTTTGAAGTGGGTTTTTAGATTATCTAAAATTGCAGGTTTTTGTCATGGAGTCTGTGGGTGTATAGGCACCTATTGTTTTGGTCTGAGATGCTCCAACCTTAAAGTCGGAGTCGAGAATAATCAGGTCGTTGTTTTACTGTAATATAAACACATGAAGCCAATTAAACTTAGGAAACAGGAAGGCATTGCTTTTTGCCACAGAAAGAAGAACAACTCATCCAAATTTTGGCTTTAATTTGTGTTTTTAGATTCAGATTAGCTTCAGTCTCTGATTTCCTGTTGTTTTGTCCAGATCAGACATTAGCCAGCAAGTCCGGCTCTCTTCCTCTTAACTTGGGACCGCCAAGGTGGAGCTGGTCCAGTCCAGTCGAACTGGCACATTTACAATAAAAATCAGGTTTGCACAATTAGAGCTATTAGAAGCAGGTAATTATTATTTATTGTATCGGCCAAAACATACTGTCCATTCCTAGGTTCTAGTTCACTAAAAGTAAACTAAAACAGTATAAGATAAGTAACATAACATAAAAACTGAAACAATATTGTGAAGTTACAAAGCTAACTTAAATAAACTAATAATATAAAAGAAATGTCTGTTTAATGTGTAAAACCAGTCGACATTCGTTTGCAATCATAATTTAAATTAAATGTTCAGCTGCTTTGGAGTCGGAGAGACGTTGGTTTTTGTTTCACTGCAGCTCAGCAGATCAGTGTGTGTGTGTGTGT